TACGCCTCCTCTTGCTCCTCATCATCCTGCCTCTCCTCCTGTTATTCCTGCTCCCCCTCATCCTCCTGCTTCTCCTCTGGTTAGTTGTTAGGGCGACCGAGACCGAGACCGAGAGCCAGACGACTCAGCCAAGCGACGACGACGACAACAACAACCCACTCCATTCCACTCCAGCAGCACCCCCAATATCCCCCCCCTAACCCATCGCGGTTCCCATCTGCAGAGGCCACAAAGAGTTCACTCCACCTCAACACGGACACGGACACGCACATGGACACGTGCACACAGACACAGCAAGGTGACGTAATGGCAACTACTCCACTAACACATTTTTCTGCATTCCTGCAACGCGAGGGAGCATAGCAGAGGCAGCCCAGGCAGCCAGGAGTTCGGTGCTGGGAGGAGGAGATGGAGCTGGCAGGAAAGTCGCGCGACGACGAGGAGAAAAACTGAATGAAAATTGCAGGCAGCGAAGCGTGTGCCTAGCGCAAAACAGAAAAAAAAGCGAAAAAAAAAAGAAAGAGCGTGGAAAAAAGCATAAAACGGCAGAAACTAGAGACGCAGCCAGACGACGACAACAACAGCAGCAGGCTAGGGGGGGGTCGTGCTCACACACGTGGGACGTGCTATGGAGCTCGGGATGTGCCGGAGAGTGCGAGTGTGTAGAGTAGAGATGTGGTTGAATGCTAGGAAAACAGCAGAATCGCAAGCAGAGGAGACTCGCCAAACTGGTGCACTATGGTCCAGCCGACCACTTTTTTTGGCCAAAATTAATAACTTCGTCAATTTAAGAGATATCAACTTGAAACTTTACCAATCGTAAAATTATACTTATAGGATGATACTGGATCAAAATTATCCGGATCAGGAAACTATATCCTATAGCTTTCATAGGAACGACTTAGAAATTTTTAAGATAAATTCACAAAACTTCGGTTACTTCAAGATTAAGTCATTTTAACTACATTTTAAAAATTTTATAGGAATCGGATGACGAATTCCTATATTTTACATAGAAAGAATCGGAAAATTGTCCTCTTTTTCCTTATAATTGCATGAAAAGTGGGTTATAAAATCTTTCTACGATTCTATATTTTTTTTTACATTGTATTTTATTAGAATAACTATATTTGATACATTTTGTTGGATATTTATTAGTTTGCATGAGTATAAAGACGTTACTTCAGCGTTTTAATTGACATTTTCATACAAAATATAGGCATCTTTTATTGCAAATTTAAAGAAATGTGGTCAAATGTGGCATTACTCACTATATGCAAATAAACAAGAATTAATTACTCTACAACACATAATAGGTTTCAAGGTTGGACTAGGCTGGACTCACTTTAAAAAACCTTTTTGAAAATTACATTTAAAATAAAATTTTAATATTTTAGATGATAGACTTTAACACCAAATTAAAAAGACATCACAACGACTTAAAACATTTGACTATATAAAACATGTAGTACAAATCCCACTGATTCAAATTCAAGTTAAAAAATTTAACAATTATTGTTTTTTCCATGACTTTTTTTAATTTAAGAATTGTATTAATTTTCGCACTTATAGTCTTGCCGTTCGCTCGTGTGCAATCAGCTGACTTTGGAAGACTCTTGTGCGAGAGTGGCGCCACCTGGGAAGATTTCGAGAATGGCACGCTGATGGTCACTCTATTTCTAATTAATAGAGACCAAAATAACTTTATTTGGTAAACTTTCAAAAAATGGGTTTTGGCCAAATAAAGTGGTCGACTGGACCATAGTGTGGTGGCCTGAGACTAGACGCTGTCTGCGTGTCTCTGTGTGTGTGTGTGCGACTGGCCGACATTCAAGGTTGACGGAAAAATAACTTGTTGTTGTTGCTGTATAGCTGCTGCAAATGCAGCACAGGAAAGTGCGAGAAGCATACACCCTACACAGTGTGTACATTCCAGGAACTTTGTGAGTAACAGTAACAGTAAAGCTGGAATCGCCAGGGCTTCCCGAAACGGGGTAACGGGATCAAGGGTAAGGAAAAAGAGTAGTACTCTCCCAAGACAGTAATGAGAGCAGAGAGATTAGTAAAAGGAGTTTTAAAAAAAAGTGCTGACAGGAGTATACAGAGAGAGGATCTTGTGCCATTTACAGTTATACAAAAGTCAATCAAAGGGGAAAGAAAAGGAGAGTAGCCGCGGAGTTATCGTTGGCAATTAGAAGCGAACGAAGCGGACCAACAGTACTTCCGTTAGCCTTGCACACCAATCAAGGGGAATGAACAACAACAGCGGTCAATTGAGAGTAGTTCGTTCGCACAAGTGGACAAAACACACACACACACAAAGAGCCCCCTGTGTGACTCACTTCCAGTGCAGTTCTAGCACAACGCACTTGTTTGGCTGCACAGAGCCAGAGACAGATACAGAGGCAGATGCAATAGCAAATGGGGATCACGATCACGATCATGAACATGATCATCGTAATAATGATGCCATCCAAGGCCGCCGCCGCAAGTCTTGCGAGTAGGAGGAGGAGTTGCAAAACAAACACAGAAAACACAACACATACAAAGAAAGCGAAAGCGAAACGGAGACACAGACAAAGACAGACAGAGTGCATAGTTATCGCTATAGACAAGGGGATATGGGAGAGGGGGGTCTCTCCCAAGTTCTTGGAAACGGTTACTCCAAGGCCAAGAGCCGGATAGACAAACAAATGAGGCACAAAGACTAGAAGAGATAACTCTTCTTTTTTTTTCCTCTCTCTTTCTCTCTCTCTTGCTCCTGACTCCATTCCATGCCCCATCCATGATTCGCGATGTTTCCATTTCTATTCCCAGGCACTACTCTTCTGCCTCTTCTCCACGTTCTTCTTCTTCTTCCTTCTTTGCCAGTTCAGTCAGTCAGTTGGTCATGAGTGTCATGTGCATAGAGTTGCAGGGTATGTATGTGTGTATGTATGTATGTGTGCTTGTGGGGGACTAGGACAGCCAAAAGGGAAGGAGATGTAGAAGGGGGGGGATTTCTTTCGCTTTTCGCTGCACTGCCATACGATCGCCGTTCCTGCACTTTCGTTGACATTTTTTTACTTGCATGTTACACACTCGGTTCTTTTTCATTATTTTCTTTCTTCTTTTTTTTTTTTTGCTTTTTTTCAATTGGCGATGGTCTCAGCTTACCAAGGCGGCCAGGCAAGGGGGGGCGAAAAAACTCAGACGAGACAGCGAGGGTCGTTTTAAAAACGACAAAAAAAAATAGTTGTAGACTTGGCTTGGCTTTGGCTCTCATTCTTGAAAGAATAACGGGTAATTTGAGACGATGGATGGTTAACGGTAAATGTGGCAAGCAATAACAAACTCTCACACTCTTCCAATAACTCTCTCCCTTCTACCCTAATCGCTCACCCGCATAGTGAAAAAAAAAACAAATTAATGAGTAGAAGAGTGCGCAAAAATAAAATAATAATAAAGGGAAAAAGTAAAACGTGTACCCTCAGTGAGCCAGATGCGCACCTCCACTCCCTCTCCCACTACCAGCCGCCCATTCCAATCCCTTCCCGTCGTCGCCGCTCAACAATGCAATGACATTCAGTATCCAGTCAACAGCAGCAGCAGCAGAAGAAGCAGAGGCAGAGGCAGAGCTACAAAAAAGCAAATGCCACAGCAGAGAGAAAGAACACACCAAAGATCAACGGCCAAAAAATTTGCCAGTCCCGAAAAAATACACAAAACTCGGGCACACATGCATGCATGCATCCCAAATATGTGTGTGTGTGTTGTGTGTGCAGGGCCTAAAAATAAGTCGCAACCATGCCATGGCAGCAGTTGCTGCTGCTTCCAGCCTGTAGCAGCGGCTCCGCTCTAGGTGGAAGCTCACACACGAGGCGAGCCGAACGATCGTCGCAACCAAAGCCGAACCGAAATCGAGCGAATCGGGAATTGCACACACACACACAGACTCGTTCGGAGGAGCAGCAAAGAGATGGGGCGGCGGGAACGATGGGAGAGCAGGAGCGGAGCCCTAGCTCGCTCGCACATTTTTTTATCTAATAACCTTGTGCAATGTTATTAAACCCAAAAAGTTTCTTAACCTCGCCGGGCGCAGCGACTGCGCGTCGTTGGCAGAGAAGCGAGCAGCTTTTTGATGAGAAATGCTAATACATTGTCGCTGCTGCACTCGTGTGCGTGTGTATGCGTGCCAATTGATCGGGCGTCTGTGTGTGAATGTGCCACATTGCGCAAAATTGTCTATAAAATTAATGAGCTGGCCACGCACACACGCGTAGGCCTGTGCATGTGTTTGTATATATGTAAATGCATATTCTTAGTGTGCGCGATGGAGGAATTGGAATTGGAAATGGCTGCGAGAATGCGAGCGAAAAGCAAACAAGCTAAGTTCCATGTAATGCGAATTAAATTGCGACGAGAAGAGAGAAATAATGAGAGCCCTGCACTGCGCAGCTGACTTTCGCCTGGCCATCGCTCCCAATACTTGCTCCTCCCCCCTCCAGGCATTTAGATTTTTGATTTCCATTTCCATTTCGCTTTCGGTGCCTCGTCTTCGTCCCGTTCCCCTTTGCATAGGCTTTTATTCGCCTTTCCCACTCTACCGATCGACCGTTTCCTTTTGCAAAAGCAAGCAATTCACATTTCAATTTTCGCGAATTAATTTGCTGCGCTTGCAACTTAGAAACCTCAGCCCCAACCCGAACACCAAGCCCTACTCCTCCTGTCCAGTGGTCAGCCTATTCCTATTCCATTAAAAACGCGATATGTACAAAAATATCAAAGCAGTTACGTATTGCTAATTCTGCCAACGTCAACTCCGATTCTCGTCCCCATGTTCCCACACGTTGTGTTTCCAAGAGTGAGAGCACCAACTGCTAGATGGGGAGGGGGAAATGCAAATGGCCAATTTCGGAACTGAATCCGAAACGCAGCAGAAATGGCGCAGTTGTGGTGCTCTCCCTCGGCCACACTCTCTCCCCCCTGCCCCCACGAACATGTTTTCGTACCCTACTTACGGCGATCATCCCAGATAGAGATGCAGGGTGTGCGAACGGGCGAGCACTAGAGGTGAATGCACTGGAAGCTCCCATGCGTGAGCGAGAGGGAGCGACGCGGATGTCCCCGATAGAAAAGAGTGCGAGTGCGACGACAGCATTATTACTCGACCGTTTGTTTGTTATTTTCGTACGGTTTTGCAATTTTTTACAGTTCAACGTTCATTAGAGCGGCGGCGGGCCAACAACTGATTGTGATTGCAAGTGCGCGGGGGGGGTCACTGCAGCGGACGGGCACTTATCGGGCAAAAACGCGGCGATAATTCGAAACGCCAAACGACATTCGGCGGCGACGGCGTCGTCACACTTTTTGGAGTTGCACAGGGAACGCACGCAAAGCCAGAGAGAGGGGCACGGTGGCGGGACGCGGGGGCGAAGCCGTTGAACGCTCGGCGCAGTTCAAAGCCCCTTCGGCAGAGGCGGATGACGACAGCAGTGGCGAAAAAATCCAGAGAATACGAAACCGAACACACAAAAAAAACACCGAATCAGAATCACTTCCTCTTCCTCCTCCTCTTCCCATTGGGCAAACACACTTTTGTAAAAGCACAAGTGAAAAATAAACACAACTCCGTTAGCTCCATTTAATCCACAAGTGGTGCGCACCTCTCTCTGCGTTGGAAACGAAACTAACCAACGCTGGAAAATGTACGCGCCGATCTAGCGCGAAAACTATTTGCACTCAAGAGACAGGCAGCAGCAGAGCCAGGCGAAGTCGAACTTACATGGCTAGTTTTCCAAGCGAGCGGAGAGCACCGAAAGCGCTCGGCTAGAAACTAGAGGCAAAGAGATAGATAGTTGAGCGAAATAGTGCCGGTCGTCTCACTCCCACTCCCTCTGCTAACGGATGCTGCTGCTGCACTCCTGCACTTTTGCACTCACTTTCAGTACAGTTGCAACTCCAAATGGAGTGTGGAGCAGGGGAAGAGAGGAGCAGGAAGGTGGTCCCTGTCTAACACTATTGGTTTCTAAGCAGTGCTGCTGCTCTCGCTCGCTCGCTTGCTCTCATCCCACACATAAGCACACACTACTGCTCGCGCGTTCTCCCACTCTTTGTCTCTCTCCATCTCTCTCTCGTGAGCTTTTCGACTTTGGCTCGCGAATTTGCGAAATTTTGTGCGGGGTAAACGACCGAATGTCCGACACACGATGACTAGGTTAAGGTGAAGGTCAAATTAGCGAAAATGCAAAACAACCAAAGCGCAAAAGGCGCTGCTGACAGCGCAGTCGCAGCGCACTAACAATAGAAATCAACTTTGTCAGCGAGAATGACGACCGAGGGGAGCGGAAAACCAAAACAAAAGAAAAGGCAGCTAAAGCGAAAACCCAAAGCGTACACAAAAGCGTTTAGTCAGAGAGGAAGAGAATCGTAGGCATAGAAGACAGACATCAGGAAGCGGGCGGCGGAAGGGGGGGGGGTATTTCGCAGACAGTCGTGCATTCTTTTTCTGTCTGGTCGGATCTGGGTCTGGGTCTGGTCCTCTTCCTTCCACGCTCCTTCTTGTCGCACCTATGGCGGCGATCGCCTTAGATAGGCAGAGGAAGAGAGAGCCTGCTGATTGCTGTTTGAGAGTGTTTGTCTCAACACCAGCACAGTTCGCCGCCTCTCTTGCTTGCAAGCAGACAAGCAAGCTTTCTAACGCAGGCTTTCTCTTTCTCGCTCGCTCGCTCACTCGGCTGGCTCTCTATTATGCGCAACTAGCTAGGCAGCGACAGCGACGCGAGCTGCGACAGCGGCAGAGCAGACGCGATGAACGCGAGACCTTGAACTTGGACTCAGTTTACGAGTTGAAGAATTGGGTTTTGTTTTGAATGCTCTCTCCCTGTCTGCCTCTGTGTGTGCGAGTGTGCTATCTCGTGTCGCACCTCTCCCCCTGACTATTCCAGTTCTATTTGTGCTCTCGCTCCCTACCCTCCACCCTAATTGGAAGCAATTAGCCTAATGGGCCAATTAACACGCATTAATCAGGTGCCCTAGAGGTCCGTCTCCCTCTAACGCCCTCTGTCTGCCGCCACCTACCTCCCTTTTATGCAAATGCAAATGCCAAGCCCCGATATGCCGGACGCACACACAATGCACTTGGCGTCACTCTGAATTCTGCAGTTAGAGGGGCCCCAGGGGGTGGGTGCCTTTTGCGTCTAGCACTTGTCTAGACACACACAGACGCAGTCGGCACTCACTCACTCACACACACACTCGGTGGCTGCATTCTGCACTCGTTGTAATGCCCTCCTTGCGGCGTCTTCTTCCTCCTCTCTATCTCGCTCTCCGCTAGTTTTTACACAACTTTCGCTTTCACTATTGTGGCTGCTGCTGCTCTCTGCTCTCCCCATTCCCACGCGTGTGTGTGTGTGTTGGTTTGCATTGGACGTTAGATTTTACATTTGGCCGGCATTCGGTGGGAGCCAGGGGGCTGTGTGTGTTTGTGTGTGGAAATGCGATGCGATGTGGGCGCCACAGCGTCTAGCCGGCAACAAGTGGAAAGCGGAGAGTGAAAAGTGGATGTGGACTGACCTTGTTTAATGTTTTGTAAACTGTCGTAGACTTGTCACCACAGTTAGTAGTCCCCGTCCCCCTAGCCATCTCGCTCACACGAGGGGAACGCTGGAATGGGAATAGCGAAATGAGAATAGGAACAAACTGCTGATAGGCTAAGAGCGTGCGTATGAGTGTGTGTGTGTGCATAACTAAATCGCTTAACCTTGAAAATAGGAACCGCACACAGCAACAAGAAAGGAAAAAGCCAAAACCAAGTCACAAAGAAATCCGCAAAAGTTTCGGACAAACAAAAAAAAGAAAAAAATGAAGAGAAATAAGAAGCAAACATACAGATAGAGAAATTAAGAAAAGCACAAACAAGTTTGCCGAAAAAAAGAATGATTAGAGAGTCTAGAACTCGCGGGGGTGGCACACACACACATAATATACAGTAGTGTATGTCTGTGTGTGTGCTTAGCATTTAGTTTCCAACTGAACAAACTACCGTCGCCTCTATCTAATCTCTTGCCGCTTTGCTCTTTTAGCTTTTTGGCTTTTGCAGCTTTTTTTCTTCTTATTTTTTTTTTTTAACAGCGCAGTCAGCCAAATAATTGCTTTTATTCAAACTCACACACATACGCGCCTGCAGCGAAATCATTTTTTTCTAGAACTATTCCCAAGGCTGTTGCCGGTGGCGAGAGTGAGAGCGCTAGCTGGCTGGCTGGCTGCCTGGCGAAATGCGCCAAACACAAAATTTAATAATAATACAGCCACCACAGCAACAACAATTTAGTATTTAGCCTTGAAAGTTCGTAAACACTACGACCGCACGCACACTAGCACACACGGGCAGCGTGCACACGTACTTGAGATCTGTTATATGCAGCGCCAAATAAAAACATAGAGAATGTGGAATATAGAATGTAGAATATGGAATATAGAATAGAGCGAGAGAGAGTGAGAGGGCGAACTTGGCGATTTTCGGGTGGAATGATCTATTGGCCATCAGCTCCCTCGTCACACTTCTTCCACTTTCCCGCCTGGGGAAATCACTCCCCCAACGGCTCCCTCTCCCTGGCCAGACTTTATTAGTTATTAGTCAGCCGGTAGCAGCGATTGTGACTGCGACGGCGGCAACGACGACGCCGACGACGTGTTTGGTTTGTTCTATGCACAAAAATCCAACTCTAGTATAAAGAAAAGGGAGACAGAGAGAGAGAGCGAGCGAGATCGACACTGGATTTTTTGGTGTGCAAAAAATGCTGGCCTTTCTGCATGCCTCTCTGTGTGTTTGCATGTGTGCTGCGTCTGGGAATTCTACATTCTAATACAAGGGGTTCGGTTCTTCCAGTGGCCCCCGCCGTCGTGCAGCTCTGCTCGCAACCAATCCTTCGAGCTTAAGCGCGCTCTTGCTCTCCACTCTGCACTCTCCCACTTCACTTCTGTTCTCGTTCCCTCTCTCGCTGGTTCGGTCGCTCGATCCCGCATCCAGACGGACGCACACAGACGCAGTGCTGCTTGCCGAAATTTCGGGGAATAGTTTCACCAGTGTGTGAGCGATTTTTTTTTTATTTTGTTTATTTTTTATTATTTTTTGTTTCGGCTGCCTAATGCGCTTTTTGTGAGTGCTGGACGTCGACGCTGACTGCGACTGCGGCAGAATCAGAAGCAGCGGCTTCGGCAGCAACTGGCACGGCACTCTCTTCTTCTTTAGCGAGAATTCAGTTGAGTTTCTACGCTTGCAATCATCAAACGCAACAAACACAAAACACACGCAAATCGGACTAGTCGCTGAGATCCGAGAATCCGAGTTCCCACTCCCACTCCGTTCCCCCCCGCAAGTGTTCGCGTTCGCAGATGAACCTCATCCTGAGCTCCCTGGCATCCCGAGGAGCATCGCGATGGGATCGCAAATAGTTTAGTTTAGTTTCGAGAGTCGTTCGTTCGGTCGGTCGGTCGGTCGCTCCCTCGCTTCGTTTAGTTTCGGTTCGCTTCCCTGCTTCTAACTAACGGTCCATCTAGTGTGTATATGTATGTGTGTGTGTGTGCGTGCCGTCATTTTTTTGTGTTCTATTTTCTTTTTTGTTTTTCGTGTGTCGAAATTGTACGAAATTAAAACCTACACAAAACATTGTTAACTCTGTGACACAGTCATAATTAATTAGTTATTGGAAAGTAAATAAGAGAAAAGGAGAAGAAATGCTCCAAACAGCCGTCTGTTTTTACACAATCCAATCCCAATCCAATCAGAACAACACAGCCCACAGCTGGAAGCAGCTCCAGCTCAAGTTCGAGCTTCAGCCGTAGCAGGAGTCGGGTTCCAATCAGAGCGAGCGCCGGCGGCAGGAAAGGTGAGCAGGCAACCGGAGAAACGGTGGGAACGGGATTCGCGATACGCTCACTCACTGGAAAGCGCAGTGGGAATGGCAATGGTAATGGGATGACGTGCATTCCCGTAATTCCCATAGACAAAGGCAATGAGAGCTCGAGGCTCTGTGTGTGTGGGTTGCTATTTATACATTGACACACTCACACACAATCCCAATATATAGCAAAAAATAATAAATGAAAAAAAAAAAAAAAATAAAATAAAAAAGTGCAGCGAAGGGGCGCACGCCTGCCGGACTTATCTAATAGTTTTCACTTTCAATGTCGAGCGAAAGCTCTCTCTCAGCGCTTATCTGTGCGAGCGGGGGAGAGCACTGCTTGACGCGCGCTCTCTCTTTCTCCCTCTTCTCTGTCGATGTGCAAATTCGAATTCTGTGTTTCGGTTTCGATTTCGATTTGGGTTCCTGTGTGTTATTGCAAGATGTCCAGATGCGTTTCCACTCTCCATTAGCTTCTTTCCACTCTCCAATAATGCATGGAGCCCGTAATCAGCTTAATTTAACAAATAAAGATTAAGAAAAAAAAAAACCAAAATCTAAATAATAAAAATAAATTCACCATTTCATTATATTTTTTTTTGTTCCCCAACACAAGTGTGTTCTTGTTATACTCGCATTTGTTATAATTTCGTTTTTTCCCCACATTGCGATGCGTTTGCTGTTTTCTTTTGCTTCTTCCTCAGCTTTGTTGTTGTTCTTTTTTTTATATATGTATAATTTTTTGTATGGTTTTTTGCACTCGTTATAAATTTTTTGCGCCGTCTGCTCGAGCCGTCTGCTTCTTCCTAAAGCATTTCGCGAGTGCTAATTGTCGTCTTGATAGTTTTATTTAATTCTGATTCTGATTCGCCGAGTGACATAGAAATGGGTTTTTGCTGCCTGCATTCGTCGCCGCCGTGGTTGACATTTTAAACTGCATTTGTTAACAATTTTCGAACATTTCGCATAGTTGCAAGCGAAAAGAAACAGTGAAAATAAAATAAATACAGAATAAAACAGAGCTGAAAAAAAGCCATGGCAAAGCAGAAACAAATGCTTCAACTTTTCCGCGGGCACAGCACGAATCCGGGAGCTGTCGTCTCTCAGACATTTTTTTTCTTTTTTTGATCCATTTTGTAATCCGATTGCGACTCGAATTCTAATTGTTTTCTCTTGGATATTTTCCCTCTCTTATTTATGCTTGCAGTTAAGTAATCACTAAGTGAACAAGTAAAGCAGCCCAGGAAAGTAGTAGTACAACAACTATTCAACAACTATCAACAACAACAACAACTTACAACCAAAGAGCACAAGCCAGAAGCCAGTAGCTGCCACTGAGCTTTCTGTCCTTTCCAAGGACAGGAACCTGGCACACAGGCACAAACAAGCCGCCAACATACGCAAGAAGGTGACCTCGAAGAAGGCCAGCGTTGTGACGGTTGACGACGATCACAACAACAATAACAACAGCAACCATAACAACGACCACAACGCTCGGCAGGCAACCAACAATACACCAACATCAACACCAACACCAATCACTCCAACTCGTACACCCACACCCGCTGATTATCAGGATCAGGAACAGCAGCAACAGCATCAGCATCAGCAGGACCTCCAAACAAGCGATATCATGGACGATACACAGCACTTTTGCCTGCGTTGGAATAACTACCAGAGCAGCATCACCTCGGCGTTCGAGAATTTGCGTGATGATGAGGCCTTTGTCGATGTGACGCTAGCCTGCGAGGGCCGGAGCATCAAGGCTCATCGAGTCGTCCTCTCCGCCTGCAGTCCCTACTTCCGCGAGCTGCTCAAGGTGAGTTTAGATTAATAGATATCATGTAATGGGGTTGTTTTGGGTTCTTTGGAGACTTAAAACGTGTTTTTACGTAGTTTAACAGTTAAAACTTGGTCTAATAATAAAAGTAGCTTTAAGAAACTAAAAAGGGCTAACAAAACAAACTGATATGGTTTATAGAGTTTTTTTTTTGCGTGTAGCGTCATTACAGCGATCTGCATGCGTGTGTGACCCACTTAGGGCCCACTCTCTCCTCCTTATCTCCCTCCATTGCCAAGTTGCAACACATGTGTGCTACAGACTCAGCTTCCTGCTTCCTGGGGGTGCATATTACTGTATATACTTGGCAATAAAATGCAAAAAAAAAAAAGATCGACAAAAAAATTTGAAATCAGAAGGAACTGAAAGCCGTCGCAGCTGTGCTCGAATTTTTAGCTTAATAAAAAAGTATGGCATTTAGCTTGAATTTTAATTTATTTAGTTGCAAATGGAAGTTGGAGTTGGGGTTTTTGTGGTTGGGACAGCCACGATAGACACGCCACGAAAGGAAGGAGAAGGGAGCTGCAAGTGGAAGTCGCAACACGGCATTAACTTACCCGCCTCTTATTTAGGTTTTGTTTATTTTATTTGCGGTGCAAATGAGTTGGACTTGGCAAGGACTCTGTTTTATTTTTTTTACTTCTCTTTTTTTTTTGCGGGACAACGCGGCGTATGATTGATTTGTGTGCTGCGATCATGCAACGCATAAGGTCTTCCCCTTCTCTCTCCACAAACTAGAGCAGGTCAAAGGGGAAGAGAGAGGCTAATCCTTGAGGCAAAAGTAAACTTCTTGCAACTAATGCAGCCCCCCCCTTGCTTCATTATTTTTATTATGACATTAAAATTATGTGAATCGCTGTTGTTGCCGACAACGACAACGACGACGACGATGGCGACGACGTTTGCCCGCCAAAAACTTTGCGCGCTGTGGCTCTGCCTCTGCATTGAAAATATTTGCACGCAATTGCGGTTTTTGAGCCAGTTAGAGTTTTGCCATTTTTGCCATTTGCATTGTTGGAGCTGTCAGCAGGGGACAACCGAGCGGGGATTTGTTGGGACTGCAGCAGAAATTATATAAATTACAAAGTGCCCGCCCTCCGTTGCTCCGTTGTTACTCTGTCTCTTTCGACGATGATTTGTTAACATGATAGAAAACTTGCTGCGCTTTTCGTTATTACAAACAAAAAGAGAGAGAGAGAGAGAGAGAGAGACGAAGGAAGCGTAAAGGGAAGTTGTTTGGTTTTTGGGATCCTGGCTTTTGTAGGAACTGCAATTAGGAGAAGCTCCCATCCAGATGATTACGCAATTGGCTATGGCAGGACAGACTTTGGGGGGGGCTGGGAACCCGAAACAAGAACATGTCAAGTCGCTGGCAAAGTTTCTGTGATCCTCCTGCACCTCCACCATCTACCTCCTACTTATTCTTTTCAAAATAATAAAAAAAAAAACCTGCAAAAGTCGGCATTTAATTTGTTAAAAAGGCCAACTAAATGCAGCGGGAATAAAAGAAAAACAGGAAAAACAGCAACGACAACAAAGGCAACGAATTTTTTGTTGTGTGTGTGCTGGGGTGGGGGGGGAATTATTATGTACCCAAGAAATTAGTATACAAAACTTTGTTGGCTTGGCCTGGGCTTGCAACAACAAAAAAGCGGCACAAAACTTTGTAAATTCAATTTGAAATACATACAAGTGGGCACTGTCAGCCCCAAGTTGGGCGCCAAAAAATGTTAATACAGGCAGGAGGAGCTGGACGAGCCGAAGGATGAGAAGGAAGAGCTGTACAAAAGGACCAAGAGACAGAGTGGACAGGAAAACTGGACTCGCAAAATGGGAGACATTTGGCGCTAGCCCAACTGTAGGGAGGGGCAAAGTCAGAGACAGAGACAGAGACCCCGCCCCAGAGTACTTGGCGTCGCAATTGTGCGCGACTTTGCGCCTATGCATAAATATTTAATTAACTGCAGCGCATTATTTTAATTAGGTGTAAAAACTGCCAAAACAACAAAAGATAGCGACAAAATGGTTGAATCCTAAGGGGGGTCCGGGTCAGAGGTGGCTTAATAGCTGTTTGCTAAAAGCATTCTGGCTTTTGTGTAGCGACCACGCCCTCAGTGCAAGGCATTTGCATGATGTTGATTGTGCCAGCTGCAGAGATCGAGATCTTCACCAGGCAAAGCTCTGGCACCCTATACCTCCTCCCAACAAAGCTGACCTCGATTTTGCAATCTCTACCTCTTAAACTCAATCGCAAATACTTGGTATCCAAGTTGCGTGTGTGCAAGTAAATAAGACAACGAAAACGACAACGGCAACGATGATGATGATGATGGCGGCGACGGGATGCGATCTCCGAGGAGGGAAGCGGCAAGACTTGACCCAATTTCTAGCAAGGCAGAAAACAGCAAAAGCAACAGCCAAGGCAGCTCCCTTTGTTGGAGTTCCACTTGATAAGTGAAACTCACACAGCAAAGCAGCACAAACTGGAATGCACTGGCCCTGAACAGGGATAGGGACGGGGACAGGGGCACCACACATGGCAGAGGCAATGCAGCTCTCGGGAATCGAAAAAAAGAGAGAAAAAAAAAGGGAAAACCGAAACTCATAAAGCGAAACGTTCAAATCGTTGGCTGCTGTTGATATTTGCCTTGTTATTTGTTGTAATTTTTTTTTTAACATTGTTGAATTTTGTTGTAATTTTTTTTTTTAACACTTCTTTTTATTATTATAATTTTTAGCGTCAATTAAAGGTTGTCTGCAAAATACCAATAATAATTGTCAAAGCAAACACTGCAGAAGTAGCACTTTCATTCTCATGACTAATTCCCTTTTGCCTTTCTTACAGAGCACACCCTGCAAACACCCGGTCATACTGCTGCAGGATGTAAACTTCATGGACTTGCACTCGCTGGTGGAGTTCATCTACCATGGCGAGGTCAATGTTCATCAAAAGTCGCTGCAGTCGTTCCTTAAGACCGCCGAGGTGCTGCGCGTCTCGGGTCTGACACAGCAGCAGGCAGAGGACACACACAGCGTGAGTATAGGCCCTATTAAAATCAACCTTTTTATATAAATTGATATAATATATAACTATATTTCTATTCTCCTCTCTTTGCAGCATTTGGCCCAAATCCAGAACCTGGCCAATGCCGGCGCCGGACGCACACCCTTCAATTCACACTCTCACTCTCACGCCCACTCGCATCCACATCCGCACCATGGCTCCTCGATACACGACGATGGCGGCGCCTCCACACTGTTTAGCCGCCAAGGAGCGGGCTCACCGCCACCACCCGCAGTGCCATCGCTGCCCACGCACATCAATAATCAGCTGCTGAAGCGCATGGCCATGATGCATCGCAGCAGTGTTGCCGCCGAGGAGACATCGCATGCTCTCAAGCGGCCACGCGGCTCTGATAACAATAATGGTGGCTTGCCGCTCTCCGGTGGCGGCGGTGGAGGCTCCGGCAGTAATAATAACAGCAGCCCGGACTTGCCATCGCTCCATCATGCCCGCAGCACTTCGCCCCAACAGACACCGGCCGACTTTAGCACGATTAAGCACCACAACAACAATAATACACCGCCGCTCAAGGAGGAAGGAAAGCGTAAGTTATCTTTGTTTTTAAGGTAACCTTAAGTCGATCTTCAATCCTTTTTTCTAAACAGGCAACGGACCCACTGGCAATGGCGCTAGCAATGGCAACGGAATCTCCATTAGCGATAAACTGGGAAGCTTGACACCCTCGCCTCTGGCCCGGGCCTCTGCCGGCGCCGATGATGTTAAATCGGAGCCCATGGAGCTGGTCTGTTCGACGAACAACAATGCCAATGCCAATGATGAGCACAGCAATGACTCCACCGGCGAGCATGATGCCAATCGTTCCAGCAGCGGTGATGGTGGAAAGGGCTCTTTGAGGTGGGTTAACCGGGAATATTTCGTAGGCTTCCGTTTCTTAAATCATTATTTTTTTTTTTATATTTATAGTTCCGGCAATGATGAGGAGATTGGCGATGGTCTGGCCACGCACCATGCCGCCCCGCAGTTCATCATGTCGCCGGCGGAGAACAAGATGTTCCAGGCTGCCGCCTTTAACTTTCCCATGAGCAATCTCGATCACTCAGCGTTGCTTGGTAAATATTCCCACAAAACTAACTAACTAACTAAGTACTAACTAAGGCTTTTCTGCTTTCTCTACTCTTCTTTGCTCCCCTCTCTATCTCTATATCTCCCTATCTCTTAATGGATCAATGGAACCTATAACTTCCTCAGGTCTCAACACCCAGTTGCAGCAGTCCGGTGACCTCGCCGTTTCCCCCCAAGGTGAGTCCAAGCCTTTCACTATCCGTATTCTCTATTGTTCCGCTCTATATTTGCGCTCAAAAAAAATATATACAAAAAAAAAGCTCATTATTACATTTTTTACATCAAATGCAAATGCCAAGAAAAAAAAGAAAAGAAAAAAAAGAAACCTTTTTTTTACCAAGAGTCAAAAAAAGATATATCCAAAGTCAGAATAACCCAGAATACTCAAAGAAATAAAAGGCAAAAGCAACCAAAGCCAAAAGTAAACGAAAAAAAAGAGTTATAAGTCTAAAGTAAAGAAAAAAAAAAAACACACACAAAAGTCCTACAACAAACAAAAAAACGTTAATTCCCAGACCAAAGATCAGGTTGCAAGTTAAAAAATTGCTTGAAAACTGCTCTGACAGATCCCTTATTGATATTTCTTTATTTTGCAATCTTGTTTAATCTTGTTACGTTTGATTTTAATCGTTATCGTTTTGCCTTATTGTTACTTATCGCTTTCGTTGTCCTTTTGTTTCTTTCGATTTTTGCGTTTGCCCCTGACTGTCGGAGGACACACACCATATCGCACAGGTGTCGCTCAGGAGCAGGACATTTGATTTAACTTTCGATTTATTTCCCGTTTGACTCAACTCTTGAAATCCGCAAAACCACCACCCCACCCAAAAGAACCCGGCAACCCAACCCAACACCCCACCCCCTTCAGTACGAATTCGAACTTGATCCTTGGAAGCGAAACGAACCGAACGAACCGAACAGAAACCTGACCAACTGCTCCTTGCGATTCCAAGTCGAGTTACCTTTAAGTCGTTGCCGTATGAAACGTACATATAAAAATTTCTTTTCTTGTTTGATTGTTTCGATGGTAAATGTTTTCATTTGTTTCGGTCACAAACACACACACAACCAACCACCCACCCACCACGATCATACCCATGACCATGACACATGCACCACATGCCAGGAGAACAGAGAGAACAGAGTTACCTTTCGGGAAGTCAAAGACACTATAAGATGTGTATCGACTCTCTGTGACTTCTCTTTTAAATTCAGAGAGATAGAGAACTTGCTGCCGTTATGCATCTTATTACTATAAGGTTTTTGGTAGAGAGTATTGTGGCGGCGGTTAAAATCAAAATCAGAACCAGGAGCACGCATTCATTCACGTCCTTTCCATTCTGTTGTTAATGAACTTGCTTTAAAAATTAATTAACTTTCAACTACCGCCAAAGCCGCAGAGTGTTTAGCAAAATTCTATCACAAATTCCCTCCCCCCTTTTATGGCCGTATGTGTGCCTGCGGTTAGGCCGCAAAAATCCGGCTCCCCAGCTTCCAATCTCTCAACTCTTTGCTCCCAGACTTCCAGCCCCCAGCTCTCAGTTCTCATTATCTCCTCGGTGCTCTGTGAGAGACGCCTCCTGTTCGGTGTGTGTTTTGCTACTTGTATTTTGGCAGCTAATTTTGCTCCATTCGATCAGCCATCACACACGCACCTTGTCCTAATCCTGAACCAAAAACAGATTACACAAAATAGTACCGAATGCTACAATAATACTAAACCGTGACTCAAGAGATTACATGTTTTCGTGTTTATTATGTTTCTAAAATTGTTGTAATTTCGTTTTTTAGTTGCCATTTCCATTTCAGTTTCGTTGTTTCTTGTTTTTTTTTTTTTTCGTTTCGTTCCGTTTCATTTTTGTGTGCTAAAGTACTACTTAAAAACTCTCAGCTAAATGTTACTTTACTTACAACCAACAAGAACAACAAAAAAAAAAAAAACGCAACACGCACTCACACACACACACACACGCACACACACGAAACACACACCCAGACATGCATAGAGAATAAAATGTCCCCTAAAAGTGGGAATTTTTATTTAGTTCCCCTTTTTTTTCGAAAAGGAAAGTTTAATAATTTTTAGTTTGGATTTCAAGCCTATTATTTCCCTTTTAAAGTAGAAAGCCGATTTGCGATTTTCGTTGCGTTGTTTCCCCTTTTTCGTTTTATTTCATTCCAAAGTTCCAGAAGAAAGGAAAAAAAAAAGAAAACACTAGACATGAATCGGAAGAGAGCTCCTCTCTCTAAATAAAAAAAAAACACCGAGTACATTTTGCAATCGAAATTTTATTGGTGTCAACTTTTAGTTTACATGTAAAACGCAACGCATTTGAAGATCGAATATATACATAATACCCTTACATAATATATATATATATTGAATATTGAAACTCTTTCCTTTATTTGTACGTCGTCGTGCTTGTGTCTAAAACTATGTAAACCCACCCAAAAAAAAAAAAAAAAAAATAAAAAATTTAACAAATTAACCATCCATTGACCCGCTCCACCCCCCAACCCAATCAACAGCAAAGTCAAAAGAAAAGCTTTATTTACAACAACCAACAACAACAAATTGCATTCGAACGAATTTCCACATACATTTTCAATGTGTCTTTTGTCGAAAGAACAAATTTTTTTTTAATTAGCTGTCGAAGCCCCTTAGCCCCTTATCTCTGTGACGATGAGATAGGAGCACTTTTTTGCTCCTTATTTCACTGTTCCGCTTTTCGGTTTTGTCCCAGACCCCTTTTTCAGAGTTGTCCCTTGTCCCTTGAATTCGGCCATACACTCACAAATCCACACAAACAAATACACCACACCCCGCAGTCTACAAACTAGATTATAGAGTACAGAGTCTACCCTTTCACCCAACCTCAGACTCTTAGGCTCTCAAATAGGTACTTTCCGCGTTCAGGGTCCTCTCACCTATTGGCATTTGATCACGAAAACCCTCACACCAAAGTACAGTACACACAGGGCTCGTTTCGCTCCGTTCCGTTCCATTCTGTTCGGTTTCAGCCTGAAATAGAAACGGTAAATAAACAGCAAACAAGGTCACACTGCAGCTCATATCAAACACACACAGGCATAGACTCACCACAGGACGCACACGCACACACACGCACTACACCTCACCCCCTGAAATAAAGCCAAAAATCACTGAGAGCGAACCCCCGACTCCTTTGCCGTTTGAAGGAGGAGTCGTCTAAGGACCCACCCTACACCTCACACACACACCCACTCCCCGCACACACTCGCACACCCACACACACATACATGAACTCTATTAAGCGCTCCAACAGCTAACAAAAATTAAAAGATCTAACCTAGAGCTAACCTCTACTTTACTTTCCAATTGTACTAACCAGCGACCAAAAAGGTCAACCCCCCAAGATAAAACCATATATATATATATATATATATATATTTATATATATACTACCTACCCAAACACATAAACAAAACAAACATACACACACAAACTGGTGTGATATTGTTAAGAATTGATTGATCTAACCCCCTTCCCCTGTATACGTATTATAAATCCGCTTTACTAAAAACAAAACCCAAAATTCCCCCAAAAGATACAGCCACAGGCGACCCAAGCAGACAACTCGATACATGATACAATCTCACACCTTATCCTTTATCCTTAAGACCCCACACCCCCAAACCCTCCACCAGCACTAAAACTAAAAGAACACAAAAACTGATCAAGAAAACAACTCAAGGCTTCAAGTATATAAAATTGATTGATTGACAAACCGCTTTAAATTACGCTATATATATATATATATATATATATACATATATATTTGTTGCTATTCCTATTAAAAAAAAAAAAACATACATACACACACACAAGAACACAACAACAACAACAACACAAAAAGGCAGAAAGAATCAGTTACTTAGCTTTACGTAGAATTAAATCCCTAATTTAACTTTAATTCCCATGCGAAGGCATTCAAAATTCACTAATTTTAAGTTCCGATCTGAAACTAGAATCGAAAAAAAAATCTATGAAAATGTAACCACCGATTACTGATCACCAATTATCGACTACCGATCTATTTAAGTTACCAACTAAGCACACACAAAATTGATGAAAACCGATTGATCAATTGGCAGGCGGCCGAAGAGATGGAAAAGGTATATCGTTATCTATCGGCACACTGAGATTTGGAAAATCGTGCAGAACCATTCCAACCCTTCCGAAGCTTCCCAAAGAAAAAACTAAAAGTAGAAAAAAAGAGCCATGTAATCTAAGCACAATGTACATTTTACAAAATTTTACAATCAAATTGAAATTGAAACTGAAATTCGAAAAATTGAAATCGAAATCGATAGTTAAGAGCCCAGAGAGAAGAGAGGGTGATGATGATGATGATGATGATTATGAATATATAAGCGAAGAAAGAAGATAAAGAAGAATTTGGCGAGGGTTTAATTTTAGTGCTTATTAAGTGACACACCCTGAACACACAGTTCCCCCACCCTCTCAGTCCACACACAAACACACGCAACACACTCACACACACAGAGACACCGAGGAAAGCCAGAGAGAACACAGAAAACACGAACACAGGAAGAACACAACTACTTTTACCACTACTACTAGAACTTAACGGTGATGGTGTTTGACACACACACACACACACAGATACAGGGGAATCCGAACAACACACACACACACTCCTCTATAGCTCCTCCTTCTCTCACGTTTGTATTAAAAAAAAAAAAAAAAAAAAAAAACTTCCTCCTTTCTCCTATTCTAAAATCCCTTTGTAAATTACCACACTTCACACTTGGTAATGAGTTAAACAACAACTACAACCTACAAAAACAACAAACCAACAAACAACCCAAAACACCAGCCAACAAACAACCTTTAAACCTAAATACAAAAAAAATACACAATGAAAAAAAAAATGAAAAGAAAGAAAACAAGAGAAGAATGAAACCCCAAAGAATTTAGCATCTTTCCATCAGTCGATCAGATCGAGAAGAAACAAAGAACGAATGAAACGAAAGAAACCATGAACAATTCTCAACGTCGACGAACAATCAAAAAAGAAAGTAAATTTCTCATACAATTCCCCCCACCCTCCCCCCTAGCCCCGCACAGAAGAATTCCCCCAGAAGAACCAACGTTTTCTTTTCCACATCTGCCC